TCAAAATCAGCAACGTAGATATTCTTGTATCTTTTGGCCACAAGTACCACTTACCAGTTACTAGATTTGTAACTGTGCATATTTTGGACAAGAACTCTACTTTGTTTCCTTTATCACATATCTGAGAGACACTCAAGAGATTGTACTTAAGGCCATTGACATAGTACACATTCTCAATTGAGTGAGTGAGTGACTTTCTAATTTTTCCAACACCAAGAATGTACCCCTTTTTCCCATTTTCAAAGGATACATTCCTCCTTGTAGAGCTTTTAGTGAAAGAAAGTCCATGGTATTCCCAGTAATATGCTTTGAGCATCCACTGTCCATGAACCATTGTTGACTGCTTCCTTTCACCGTTCCCTGCACAAGGAAATCACAGGTTAGATTTAGGAACCCAAGCAAGTTTAGGTCCCTTGTAATAAACAAGAGGATGAATAAGTTCTCTTCTACTCCATGCGGGTAACATGCGCTTTTTATGGGTGGCACCTGGTTCTCTTTAGCAGTTACTCTTTTAGTAAAAACTTTGTTCTTCTAAAGAGACTGAACCCTGGCTTGGCAATTTTCTTTGAAATGTCCATTGTTCCCATAATAGGTGCACAACCAGTTATCAGGTACAGTGACATACTTTCTATGAGGATTATAAGGAGTTCTCTCCCTTTGAAACCCTATTCCCTGCTTGTTTCCACTATTGTTAATGTACATGGCAGTAATAGCATCCGAGGACCAGGTCCACTTAAGAGACTTCTCAAGATCATTTTTTACTCTTTCCAATTATGCTTGAAGCTGTTTATTTTTCTCAAGTTCAGCACACAAACTAGTTTTTACGGTATTTAACTCATTTTCAAGCTTAATGTGTGGCTCACTAGCTACTTCGTTTCCTTTTTCAAAATTTCCAGGCTTACACTCAGCTTTGAGTTCCTCTATTGTTTCCTTTAAGTCTACAATTACCACTAAGAGGTCATCTCTCTCCTGCTCAATAACAACCACTTTCTCCACTAAGGCATCCTTTTCTTTACTGAAATTCTCAATGGTTTCTTTTAGGTCAACTACTACTACCATCAGATCATCTCTTTCGTGTTCTACACTAGTGATTTTCTCAGTTAGAACCTTCTTTTCAGTTTCCAGATTATCTATAGTTTCCTTCAAATCAACCACACAAACTACCAAGTTATCTCTAGTTTGCTCAGCATCTCCTAACTCCATAGTTAAGGCATCCTTATCATTTACAAGACTATGGTAAGCATCAATTAACACATTAGCTAATGACATGAGTTTTTTTAGGAGAGTAGGACTTTATATTTCTCTGAACATCCCGAAAATTTACCTCATCATTGTCATCATCTTCATCATCATCTGATTGAGCCATCAAAGCAAATATTGAGTCATACTCATTTGCTTCACTTTCAACTACCATCATTGAGTTGTCACCTTCATTATCTTCTTCTTCAGACTTGCTGGAAGAGTCTCCCCATGCTGCAAGAGCTTGTTTCATAACATTGTCAGCGGCGTTCTTTCTTTTGAAGCATTTATCAGGAACCGGGTTCCTCTTGACTACTTTGTTAGAGTTGTGTTTGAAGTGTTCTTTCTTCAGGAGAGGGTAATCTTTGATGAAATGCCCTGGCTTTCCACACTTATGACACAGGTCATAATTCTTTGGCTTGCTGGAGCTGCCCCTATTTGGTATACATCCATTTCTTCAAGCCATTTTCTGAAACCTTCAGGTTAAGTAAGCCATGTCATTATCCTCGCCACTTGAGTCATTGCTTTCTGCCTTGAGTTCCAGGTTTTTTTCCTTCTTTGGTTCTCTTCTTTCAATGTCCTTCTTCTTTATTTCATAGGTTTTTAGATTCCCAACTAGCTCATCCATAGTCAACTCATGTAAATGTTTTGCTTCAGTAATGGCATCCACTTTACTCTCCCATGAACTGGGCAAGACACTGAGAATTTTCCTCACGAGCTTGTTTCTAGGAATGATTTCACCAAGCGAGTGTAGCTCATTTATGATGGAAGTGAATCGAGTGTGCATGTCTTAAATGGATTCATCATCCTTCATTCTAAAGAGCTCATACTCAGTGGTGAGCATGTCAATCTTAGATTACTTTACTTGAGTGGTTCCCTCGTGTGTTGTTTGTAGAGCTTCCCATATCTCTTTGGCGGATTGACAGGCTGAGATCTTGTTGTATTCATCAGGTCCTATGCCACACACCAAGAATTTCTTGGTACGAAAGTTTTTCTCCATAACTTTCCTATCTGCACCATTGTATTCTTTCCTAGTCTTTGGCATCGCCATAGGAGGGTCTTCGACCTTCTTTGTTGGGACATAGATCACAAATAACATCCCACAACTCGGAATCTTCTGTCATGATAAAGTCATGCATTCTTGTCTTCCACCACCCATAGTATTGCCCATTAAACCTAGGTGGTCTATAGGTAGACTGACCCTCTTCGAAGTTTGGTGGAGCAGCCATAAGGATCCTTTCTAGGTGTTAACCTGATAGAAAGAACCCGCTCTGATATCAATTGATAGAATATATGAGTCAACCAAACTATATAGAGACCAGGTCCTATATAGGTTTCCACAGATAATACTAATGCAACAGTATGGTATATGAAACTTTTATGTGGAAAAATCCCTGCTCAATGGGATAAAAAATCACGACCTACACTGTAGGATTTCAACTTCACTATTAGCAATCTTTAGATTACAACCTATGCAATCTATGAATTAAACTCTTAATTCCTCCCTAACTTGTCATACACCTATTACAAGCCACTTTGAAATACACATATTACAAAGACTTCAACTCATGACTAACTCTAGTCACGACACAAACACTAAAGGTTTATGGTTTTCAAGGGGTTCCTAAATGAAGTTTCTAGATAAGCAAAGTAGGAATTACAATGAAGAACAATTACAAAGTTACAACTCAATTAAGGACATACAAGAAACTTGTTGTAGGACCTGGTCTGGAGTAGTGTTGTACTTTGTTCTTGATGTACTTGACAATTGAATGCTTGATTGTCAGATGCTTGGAGTGCTTGAATAATTTCTCAAGTGTTCAAGTGATGTTTTGTTGTAATGTTCTTTGTTAATACAACTTAGATGACATCACTTGAATGATGTAATCGCTTGGTTGGTTAATGGGGAGCGACTGTTGTACCGTGCTGCACTGTTTGCGTCAGTGCAAGCAATCACTTTCCAGCTGTTGACAGTTGACTTCGTACGACTGTCAAGAAACCCCAAGGGGATCAGGTCCCTATGTTAATTCTTTATCTTCTAAAGCCATAGCAACTCACATTAGCTAGAGTCTATTGATTGAGTTGTGTACCAAGTGTGTCAAGTCCCTTATCTGGTTCTTTGACAGTAAGTTTGTTAGATCATAAAAATATAAAGCTAAGGTACTGTAAACGCATTACAAGGTTCCTAGAGAGGTCTTTTGGAGATTCCTAGAGGCTAAAGGTGTGTTGATTGCTTACATTAGGGCGATTAAGGACATATATGATAGAGCTAAGACTCGGGTTAGCACAGTAGGAGGCGACTCTGAGCATTTTTCGGTTGTTATAGGGTTACATCAAGGATCTGCACTCAGCCCATTTTTATTTGCCCTGGTAATGGACGCACTGACACACCATATTCAAGGAGAGGTGCCATGGTATATGTTATTTGCTGATGACATTGTTCTGGTTGACGAGACGCGGAGTGGTGTTAACGAGAGGCTGGAGGTTTGGAGATAAACCCTTGAGTATAAAGGTTTCAAGTTAAGCAGGACGAAGACGGAATATCTTGAGTGCAAGTTCAATGTCGAGCCGAGGGAAGCGGACATGGACATGAGGCTTGGATCACATGTCATTTTTAAGAGAGGCAGTTTCAAATACCTTGGGTCGGTTATCTAGGGGGATGAGGAGATCGACGAGGATGTCATACACCGTATATGGGCAGGGGTGGATGAAATGAAGATTAGCATCTGGAGACCTGTGTGACAAGAAAGTGCCCCCGCTACTCAAAGGTAAGTTTTATAGAGTGGTGGTTAGACCGACCATGTTGTATGGGGCTGAGTGTTAGCCAGTTAAGAACTCACATGTCTAGAAGATGAAAGTAGCAGAAATGATGATGTTGAGGTGGATGTGCGGGCATACTAGGATGGATAAGATTAGGAATGAAGTTATTCGGGAGAAGGTGGGCGTGGCTTCCATTGATGACAAGATGCGGGAAACGAGGCTCAGATGGTTCGGGCACATACAGAGGAGAAGCTTGGATGCCCCGGTAAGGAGGTGCGAGCAGTTGGCATTGGTGGGTACGAGGAGAGGTAGATGGCGGTCTAAGAAGTATTAGGGAGAGGTGATCAGGCGAGATATGGTGAGGCTTCAGATCTCCGAGGAAATGGCACTCGATAGGAAGCTGTAAAGGTCGAGCATTAACGTTGTAGGTTAGGAGGTAGTTGAGCATATTTAGTCTACCAGTGTGAGGCTAGGCTGATAGGATTTAGTCTTAGACTGCTAGTGGTCAATATTGTGTTTACACTACTCTTCCGTTTTTATAGTGTTAGACCTTATTTATTGGTAATTAATTTTGCTTTCTATTTATTTACTGGTTCTTGTGATGTTGTTATTATTTCTATGAGTTTTTTTGATTGATGATACTGATGTATTGTCTCTTTTCATTTTCTTGAACCGAGTGTCTATCGAAAATAGCCTCTCTACCCCTCGGGATAGAGGTAAGATCTGCGTACACACTACTCTTTCCAAACCCCACTTATGGGATCCGGGTTGTTGTTGTATTTGAAATGACTTATAAAAAACTTCAGAATTTAAAGAGGTTTGGATGGAAACCAAAAAGGTTATAAATCAGGATCAATGAGATGGTGCCACGTTAGTTCCTAAAATGGCAAATATAATATTTCTGTACGAAAGCGGCAACTATAGGCTGCTAGGAATACAGATGCAGTAATACTGTAATAATACGTACAACAGACTGAACCAAACACAGAACATTTGCACCTCCATTTTCAGTCACCCCATTCATACCTTGTGTTCTCTTTTCTCTTATACAAACAAACATATGTATTTGTGTGTATATACAAGGAAAAACAAGAAGGAAAAAAAGTGGTGAATGCTCTGAGTTCCAAAGGTGTGTGTGCGCTTTCTTTTCTTTTTTTGGGGGTTTTCCCCAACTGTTATTTCGCCAAGTTTTACTCTCTAACATGAAATATTTGAGAAATGATTTTGTGGGTTGTTCTTAAAAGTTAAAAAAAGCCTAGTTTTACTTCTATTAAGCTTTCTAAGCTGGTTCTTATTGCTTTTTTCCTTTGTTTTAGCTCACATTTTGCTTTGTTTTTTTTAAGAGAAGAATATGTATCTGTGTTTTTCTTGTTCTGCTAATTCCATTTTCTTATGCTAAAAAAAGGGAGTACTTAAAAAAGCGCCATTGTAGTATTTTACATACTAATATTTTGGTTCTGTTTCTGCTATTTCGCATTTTATTAATGCTTATTTCTAGTATTTATTAAGAAAAACTACAGTGGAAGTGCTATAAAATTGGGATTAAGGGTTTTTTTAGTTCTGCATGTGATGTTGCAGTTTTATGATAAGAAAAAAAAAACTCTATGAAATTGGGCGTCAGGGGTTTTGTTTGCTAAAAAGGNGTATTGTTTGTTTGAGCATTTTCTTCAGGGTTGTTTTTGGTTAGACCTTAATGCAAGCAATGGTTATTTTTCATAACCTTTTGATCATGGATTGATGAAAGAAACTAAATGTGTTTGGAGGAGATTCCAATTTTTTTTTAAGGGTTTTGATTTGCTTGTTCTCTAAAAGCAACTATGCTAACTTTACCGATACATGCTATTTGAATAAGGATTGGTAAGCTGTCACGTTAAGGGAAGTTCTAATTCTTTGTTTAACTGCAGTTTGCTGAAAATGGAAAGTGAAAAATCAAATAGAACACAATCTGGCTCTGTAGATGTGTACAGTCAGGTTGAGCTTAGGGGTACTGGACCTGATAAGTATGAAACTACCAAATTGGTTGCTAATATTGAAAATGCAGTCAGTAGCAATTTGATATCATCGATGGGTGTCCAGAAAGAGAAATTCTGTACTGATTGTGCTGAAGAAAATCAGCAAACTAGTATGAGGGTCTTAAAAGAAAAAGAATCAAAGAGTCGAAAGAATATAGTAGGCCCCAGAGACCTTGTTTGGGGGAAGGTAATGGCTCATCCATGGTGGCCAGCGCAAATATACGATGAGAGTCTAGCACTTTCTCCACTAGGGCACACAAAAAGAGATGGTTCAATTCCAGTTCCCTTTTTTTGGTGATGACAGTTATGCGTGGCTTGATCACGATCAAGTCATCCCCTTTGAATCTCATTTTGAGGAGAAGTCAAAGATATCAAAACTTCAAACTTTCAGTGTGGCAGTTGAAGAAGCTATTGATGAGCTGAAAAGGAGAGCTGCACTTGGATTGACTTGCTTCTGCCGGCACCCTAGTAATTTTCGACTTGCAAGAACTGAAGGGCTTTACGAAGTTGATGTGAGCGGGTATGAACCTGGGGCTATTTATTCATCGAAGTGGATTAAAAATTGTAGAGATGGTTTCCAGCCACATGGGATGTTTTCATTCGTAAAGAAGTTGGCCACGTCTCCAAGATCTTTGCTGAATATTTATGGGATAATTAACAGTGCAAAGGTTACTGCTTACAGAAAAGCAGTTTTTGAAGAAAACGATGAGACCTATGATCAGGCGTTTGATGAATTTGAAAAAGATGATGAGACTTATGGTCAGGCATTTGGAGTGAAAGACTCAAGCTCAGAGTATCTTGCAGAATTTTCAAAAGACGGAAATCAACTTAAAGGTATCAATCAATATTTCCTCTGGCATAGTTTGTCTTCTAGACTTTTGTACTTTTTTTTTTTTTCCGTTTATGTGAGGAACAAAATCCTCTTCTTGATTGCATCCCCTGAGAAAATTCAGATGCTAATCAAGTCAACTATATCGAGACTGTATATTGATAAGATTTAAGATCAAGCTTGGTTGAAATTTGCATTTTTTTGTCCTTACAAACAGATTTTTTCTGAAGCATAAAATGGATGCATAATGCCGAGCTATAAATTTTGATGTGCTTGTTCAGTCAATCATAAGTAAGATCAATATCTGGACAAGAGCAAGCATACGTTAATCTATTATGAACGTAATTTCCTTGTGGACTAACAACATGTCCCTCCTATATGCATCCACCATACCTGTTTGGGCACTCAGCTTTTCCATCATTGTATTGTACCAAAATTGGTTTCATGGTTATTTTGCTTTTGCTGTCGCCTCATAAGTGTTTACTCAATTGACCAATTTTAGTTTCTACAAATTTATCGTGCATTCTACTGGCTATTTATTGTTCTAGGATACACACTAGTATTCCATATTTAAATAAATAACACAATGATTTATTTGCTTACTATTATTGACGAGCTGAAAATTTTGTGGTAGATATGCTAAATTTTGTAAATTCCTGCAGGTACTGTTGGTGCTCAGTTAGAAGCTGCAGCCTCAAATGGACCAAGAGTATTTGTAACATCTACTGAAATAGCTCGTTTAGAGAGGAATAATAGTATTACTGTGGCGAAACTTTGTGTTGATATTGCATCAGAGAGATCAGGACCTGCTGCTCTACATTATAAACACAAGGATAACGCTCCAGTTTATAGGAAAAAGAGAAGATCAGAGGTACCAAAAATACTGGATGAATCTAAAAGTTCCCAAGCACTCAATGTGCCTAACATGATTACAATAGAGAAATTGCAAAATCTCAAATTCCCTACTGTTCCTCTTGATGCGTCTGTAAACAAAGAAAAGGAAAAGGAGTCATGTAAAGGAGAAATTAAAAGGAAGAGGATGTTGACCAGTGGCAGAAAGGTAAGTTTCAGAAAGATGCTACCTTTGACAATGTAGTAGCAAAAGCAGGTGGAGGAACTGGCAGGACCTGTTGTCTGAAAAATAGAGAAACTGGCAAAAAGAAGAAAAATAACAAGGTTAATGACTACACTACTCCACGAGATGGTAGTCTTTTGTCCGATTTGCTAGCTGTTGCATGTGATCCATTTTATGGAGCAGAACTGGGAAATGCTACTGGTGCATTGACACTTTTGAAGCAATTCCGATCAACCTTTTACCAAAAGAGTTGTTGTCCAGATGAACATGAGACGACCAACAAAAAGCGGACACTCTTGGAATGCCAAGAACGTATGACTAGGAAAGAAGAGTTGAGGGGGTTGAAGTCCTTGCGCATGACAAAGAAGTGTGGTGACCAAAAACTTTTTGACACCCAAAGAAGGGACTGACATTAACATCCAATCAACATTGCCTATGCAGTCTGAGATGAAGTCATTACCGAGGGAGTTGCCCAAGGAAAATTCTAAGTGCAGGTCTGATGTAGAAGAACAAGCATCTCCCGAAGGTAACGCGAATAGCAACTCCATACTTTGTGAGTATCCAACGGTTGACACATCTTCTGTAAAAGTCAATATTGGTGGTGAAAACTGTCAAGAGGTCCTTTCTGAAGTCGTGTGTGCTTCAAGTCCTGTTTCTTCTAGCATTCAGTACAAGTGCAAAGTTGGTAGATTGGATGAGACTGTTGCGGCCATTAACAGGAAATATTCCATGGATGAGGTATGGAAGAGTCATTATCAACAAAATCTCAGTGCCATTAACAGTTCAGATTTGTCGCTTCAGCTGTCCAACCTTCTCCAGAAGTGCAATGACATTTTGGGTCACAGAACCAGTTCAGCAACCGGAGTTAACTCAAATGAATGATAAACTATACAGTATACTGATGGAGCATGCACAATGAGAAGAAGAAAAGAGCATACAACTTGTTCTCATTGTAGGTTGTTGGGGTTAACTCAAATTGTGGAAGATGTTGGGGTTTCATTCCCTCGCTTGATTTCTAACTAGTTTTCTTTTGTTGCTTTGTTTCTCTTTCGAAAAAAAAGTCCTCGTGAAACAGGCCTATCATGCCCTTGTGGTCTACTTTCATGACTTTCTAGTTTTGGTCCAGTACCATTGTAGGTTGTTTGAAGAAAATGAAAACTATCCAGTACCATTCTCTAATATAACTAAAGCCAGGTTTAATGTTTTATGAATGCCCAAATATATAATGTTAGAAAATAACAAACAAAAATGGCTTTGAGGCGTGAAAATCGGCCGTCCTTAAAGAGTTATCGCATGTATACTAATTTAGGGAAATACAAAACGATTCTCTTCATGATACAACAAAGCCTGCAATAATACTTGTGATTTTCTATACCACTTCGTTGGAAATTCTTGTGTATTTATAGGCAACCAACAGACTCTTTCAGAAAAAAAGTCTTGTTGGACCCTTTCATAACAGACATAACTATTTATTCGAATTTTGAATTTAAAATTCAAATAAATTTGATTTTTCTGTCACAAAATAAAATATTAACTTTTGGATCTGACCCGGCCCATGCCCAAGCTTGGATGTCCAAGTCCAAATCTTTGATTATATATTATATAATATATAAATATATAGTGTACTTAGTATGTGTCCTAAATCAAAGACATAAAAGGGACAAGTGCTTAAAAGGCTCCAAAAAGGCCTTCTCTTTTCCGATGCGGGAATAATCCCACTTCCCAACTTGTGAATAACAAACTATCTTACATATAATTCTATACATATTTGGTGTATGTATTATTTATTTAATATATAAATATTTTATGTATATTTAACATAAAATATATATATATATATATATATATATATATATATATATATATTTGTATATATGAGGTATTTGTTATTTATTATTCAATATACATTAATTGTAAATGGAACACTTCATTGGATTGTTGGTCATGCTAGTGATGAAAGTGATATGAATGATTCAAGGTTTATTCTTTCGTTAAACCTGGTAGATGAGACATATAAAAATGTAGCAGTGCCCGATCTTGTTGATGCTAGTTTAAATTGGGATATAGGGAGTTTAGGAGGTAATCTATGTGTATCTTATACGTGCGACTTGGTCCAGATGGATGTATGGGTAATGAAGGTGTATGGTTTTGTGGAGTCATGGACTAAGGTGGCTTCGATCCCTTATTCTACAGTTATTTAGATTTCGCCAATTTCCATACATCTCCCACAATGATGAAATTTTACTGCAATATGATTCAGGTTTATTGCTGTATAATTCAACACATAACACTTTCAAGCATTCTGAGATTCAATTCCATCATGGCTGTGGATTTAGGTTTAATCAGTACATTGAAAGTCTTGTTTCGCCAAGTTTTGTGGAGGAGCTATGGATCAACGAGTGAAGGATGAAAATGGTATGGATCTTCCTTATGTGGTCTACTGCAGATATTTTGTTTTTTTGGCAGTCAAATGGATTATCAAAGGGAAAAAAGTCCTACGGAAGTTGGTTCTTTCAAAATTTCATCCTTCCCAAAAGTAGGTGCTAGCAAAAATTGGCTTTTTAGAATCTTAAATTCAGCATGGCTCGATGGTTCGAACGCATCGCCCAACATGTTTATTGTGGATGAGTTTATATAGTAATGCTGCAAGGAATCAACAATTTTCTATCCGTCCATAGCGCGTCAATTTGGGACAAATTGAGTTTCATCACTGAGTGCTAATGTGTAAAGGCTCAAAGAAGGGATACTGTTTTCAATTGACAAACCTTGGACACCTCCAAAATGCTTTATTCGATCAGGTGTACTATATATCTTTTTCTCTCTCCAGATATAATACAAATATATATATATATATATATATATATATTTGTACAACTCTTTGTAGATTCTTGAATGGATGAGCTTAGCATGTATAGCTTACAGCTTTGATTAGCTTTCATTATGTTTTTTTGTTTCCCGCCCGATTATCCGATACCTACATTATGTTGACTCCTTTGTTCAGGGACAATTATCCTATTGGTGCCAAATATTTCGTTGAATATAGAAAAGAAGGATCATCTTTTGGTATTAAAACTTTTTTCTGCATGTTTATTGAAGTGGGTGTATAGGCCGTTCGCAAGGTTTAATCCAAATTTCTAAAATTATTTTCTAGACTCTTTTAAGAGCAAAACCAAAATAAAATTCAAATGCATAACTTAAGAACACACATGGATTACATATAAATGAGGCTCGTAACACGATTACATGTATATTAGAAAGAAATCAAGGATTTGAGAACTTCACTTGGTGATGTTCGTCCTTCCACGAACTGTTTCCTAAAATTGTTCTGTTCATGTTCTAAACAAAGAAAGATTCGTTAGTTTTAAAATGATGGTCAGTTTGTGGCCTTGATCTCTTGGGCGACTTGACCTAGTGTTCGTTGCACTTGTTAGAACAGCTGGCTCTATCAATGGTCGTACAAATTGCTGAGAGATCCTGACTATTTTGCTCCTGTCACCATTTGTGTTTATGGTGAAAACAACCTTGCTCCCCAAAACAACTTTAACTGAGTAACTTTTGTTGAACCCTGAAACATTGTTAAGTCCTTCAAGTCTTTTTCTCGTCAGGGAAAATCAATGATGGCTTTATGCCTTTGCCCATACTGTTTATGCCCAGAAATTTTCTTCGTATAACGGGGAAACTGTAACCAATTTTGCGATATTTTCTTTGCTTTGCTTTAACAAAATTAGACTGAAAGGGACTCAAGAAAGTAATGCGAAAGAAAACAAGAAGGTGAAATAATAGGTATTACAACTTAATCAAGAAGCGTCCTTTTCAGGGGGGAAAATAACAAAGGACTTATCTGGAGGAATATGCAGACTTCAATGAACATGACATGCATTTTGGATTGGATGCCCCATCAGTTTGAATTGTCTAATTCTCGAAATCTGTTGTAAACTTCACTTTGAAACTGAGTTCTTTGTCTTAACCATGCTTGTGCCGGGATATATGAAGGCCTAAATCGATCAATGATGCCCTTTGTGGGTTTTCACCAATTGACCTCTCTCATTTGCCTTTCTCTCAACTCACTATTGCCTTATAGTGCCCGTGAGGGTTTTCACCAATAAGACTCTCTCATTTTTCTTTTACAATGGCTGAGGCATCACCGTAATACACCAACTTAGCATCCTCGAAAGCTGATCAGAAGATCTTAAAAGGGAGAGGTAAAAAGAACTATTCAACTGAATTACAACTTTTGGAACCATTTTGACGGAAAAACCGTCAAAAAATAAAATAAAATCATGCCCCAGTTTCTTTGCATACTGGGAAATGTGGATTTTTATTTCAGTGTGACCGAACCCCAGAGTGAGGCTGCCTATGTATCCTTTCGGAATCAGGTCGGACGTAGTTCAATTAACATGAACTTGTTTTGATGATTTTTTTGATTAGGTACATTGGTTCCAAAAGAGGGAAAAACAAAGAAATATAAACAAGGCTTCAAAGGTCTAACTAGGGTTGACCAGTATTTGGGTAGCGAGAATGATAGCCTTTCGTCATCCCAACCTGAGAATTATATACATATAAATGAGGCTCGTGATAGAAACAATGTTAATATCCCTGGCCATTAGAATGATAGCGAGAATGATCAGTGTTAACATATAAATGAGGCTCGTGACAGAGGCATGTCAAACATAGTATCTCTTGACCGCATCTGCATTGATGGTTATATCAACCATCTTTCCTTCTATATTTGCCAAGTGTAGAGCTCCTTTTGACAATACTTTCTTGATGAGGTAAGGACCTTGCCAATTCAGGACGAACTTTCCTTTTGCTTCTTCCTGGTGCGGAAAGATGCGTTTTAAAACAAGCTGTCCTACCTCAAATTTCCTTGGGCGCACTTTCTTATTGTAAGCGCGTGCCATTCTTTGTTGGTATAACTGACCAAAACAAACTGCTACCAAATGCTTTTCATCAATTAAACTCAACTATTCCATTCGGGACTTGACCCAGTCAGTGTCCTCAATTCCTGCTTCAACAATGATTCGGAGAGAGGGAATCTCAACT